GTACATGCAGACTACTTAACCCAGGGCAATGTACCCACATACACTACGGAGATATACCCCTTGGAGCAATCGGCCATGGGGCACCAGAGGGGCAACATTCACATGGTGGGAAAGCAGGACACACAGGAGTGTATTATTAAGAAGGGCACGGGTGTGGGGGGTAGTTACTGGGAATGGAGAAGACGAGAGTGGGTTCATGGTGGGGATGGTAATTAGCGAGTGAAACCAAATGCGCATGAAATGTTGAATGTAAAACAAATTCTGCTGTGTAAACTTGCACCTAAAGCAAAATAAATAAAATGAAATATAACACTAATAATAAAAAAAAATCCTTTGTTATGGAATGAATCGTCTATATGACAAATACTTAGAAATACCAGAGGAGTCTTTTGTTAAGGATGAGCTACTAAATTCCCAACATGGTAAAAGCTTCTCAGAATTTAACAAATGTAGACATTCCTTAAAGGTCAGCGCCCTTCGGAAACAGTGCCTCTAGGACACGTGACGACAATATGGCTGACCGGGGTCTTCTAGATGTTCTTATTATGAGGGACTAGCAGATAAGCTTCAAACTTCGGGTCTGCCTTTGACCAACAGATCACAGCTATAGGCAAGAGGAAGTCTGTGTTTAATGTTGTGTTCAGAAAACATTCTAATGAATACTGTGGTCCAGCTGTAACACCTCCATATCAAGGCTACATTACTGGATGGCCCAGTCAACATTGAATCGCTACTGAAGAGTGAGTATTCACTGCAGAAGCACTAGCCTGAAACTTATCGTTGCTATTAATGAAGTCAAACCTATCTACACCAAAGGCATGTATAAATCTCCAAAATGTTTAAGCAAGCAATGTTCACTGAGATTCTAGAATCAAGGACAATCAGGCCATTAGAGAATGTGGATACAAAACAGGGGTCAGAGAATATGTCTTATGCCCCAGAGGTTAACCGGCAGATCGGAAAGATCAAGAAACCTATCGTCACAAGTCTCTGGGGGAGTGGGGGGGAAGAAACCCTCTGGGGTCTATTCTAGCAGGAAATGCTCATTTGCCTCTATTTCCAAAGACAAACTGTCCAGTGAAGTGGCATAATTATCACTGCCATATCTCCTGTGACCTGCACAAGTGAAGCCCCTACTGTGCAGAGAACAACTAATGCATTCTGCACCCTCAGGATGCAAAGTGTTGAACAAAATGGAGCAGACTCGTGATTTAGACATGCTGTTTACAAATGGGAACGCCCCGGTGAGAAATGTTCTCCCCCTCAGATGAAACCAAGGATCTATCACTCCTAAACTATTATTAACTTCTACTTTACAGCAAGTGGTTAAAATTTCCAAAGATCTGAATGGCACCACCTGACAAACGACTGGCACTCACCATGCTAATTCCATGTCGTTTCAAAACCAGTAGAATCCTAAATGCCTCTAATTTGCACAATGTGTCATCTAGAGCTACTTTTAAATTGTGTTTGATTGCCTCTCAGATTATTTATCCTGAATGCACTACTGCTGGCTCATTAATCACTCACTATTCTCTCAGCTCTTTTTAAAAGGAATGAATAGCTACCCCTTCCACCACCAGCGCTTCTATTATCACAGCTTCTTAGTCCAGAATTGAACCGTCACCTCCTCCTGAAACACACAGGCATTCTGCTCATAACAGCTCTAATCTTCCAGCACTCCCCACAGATTTCAGTCAGGCCAACTTTCTTGTCATTGCCTTCCAGTTCTAGACAGTAGGCTCCTTTTCTTTGTTTTCAGAATTTTCACTAGACAAAAAGGCAAACTTCTAAATCCACAGTAGTATGAGACACAGAGAAGAAAGAGATTTCTAACTGTTACCTGTTTTCAGTACCAAAAAAAGAAAAAAAAATGTCAACAAACAAATAGTTCATTGGATGAGCATCGAAGCTTTCAGGCACAACTCAAGCAATCTTGTTGAAAAGAGCAGTAATAAATGGATTCACTATCAATCTTAAAGCAGAAGAGATATCACTCAATTTTAATTCATCCCAATTACTAATCATTCATCATGGCTACAGTTTCTTGGCAGTGATAATTCTGAACTGTATAGGAGTTTGAGCAAAGTGATTTTCAAAACTGAGCTTTCACCAGAAAGGCTGGGATTGGAAGATTCATTATAGAAAATATCCTTAAAATGCATTTTCTCATTAAATTCTAGTAAAGCAAACACATTTCTACCTTTTTTTCCCCTCAATATGCTTTACCAGTAAGATGACTAAGAAAGCACAACTAACAAAAACAGCTCCAGGCACCTTCCTTTAACTTGAGCTTTCGTTCAGTTTAATTCAAAACACAAGAGCTGAGCAGAGACCTCTCAGTTACAGTTAGTTCTCTTCTCCCTCATAATTATGGTTCTTCCCCCTGCCCTGTAGTGTTCTCCTTCCATCCTGGCCTCCTTTCTCTCCAGTTTGTGTGTAGCCCTGGGGATCTGGAGATGAGAGACACTCTCCACCTTCAAAACCTCAAGGCTTCATGTTGTTGTTGTTATGTGCCCTCGAGTTGGACCCAACTCATAGCGACCCCTCCTTGGGTTTCCGAGGCAGTATCACTACAGAAGTAGATTGTCCAACCTTCTTTCTGAGGAGTGGCTGGTGGGTTTGAACCACCAGCCTTCTGGTTAGCAGTCAAATGCCCAAGACACTATACTACCAGAGCTCCTAAAGAGCAACCTAAGTCAACTAACAATGGCAACAGAGTGCCATTAGGATAATAACGATGATGGGGGTACTATTTAGTACTATTGCTAATCTTTTAGTGAACATAATATGGACAGACACCATCTAAGGATTTCGTGTGCACTCACTCTTTAATGCTCACCACCTCTTTATGAGTCTGTGAGGCTTTTTGTTGTTGCTGTTAGCTGTCGTCAAGTTGGCCTCCAACTCATGGTGACCTCATGTACCATGTACAGAATGAAACGACTGGTTGGGGATCCAACCATTGCAATCTATAGGTTTCTCACTGGCTGCTATTCAGATGCAGATCACCAGGCTTCTCTTCCTAGTCCATCTTAGTCTGGAAGCTCCAATAAAAGCTGTTCAGCATCACAGCAACATGCAAGCCTCTGCTGACAAGACAGGTGGTGTCTGTGCATGAAGTACGTTGGCTGAGAACCAAACGAAGGACTCCTGCAAGGAAAGTGAGAATTCTACCACTGAATCACCAATGCCCACAATCTATGAGGTTATAGTACCATCTAGATAAGCACACTGTGATCCAGGGTTGTGAGCTCATTTCTAAGACCTGAAACCAGGCCATACTAAATGTGCTTCACTGTCTTGTCCTAGGATTGGAGCATGCATAGGCATTATGGGACACTGACAAAGGCCCAGGGAACTCAGGAGAGATTACTGTATGGGAAAGTTCCTGAGACACGTCCACCCAGGAGAATACACATCCCAGGCAAAGGGACCCTCACATGTCAAGTCCAGAAAGTGTCAAAAAGTGAAGCAGACTGGTAGAAGAAGGTGCTCATGGAACTACAGAACATGAATCTGGCATTCCATTCTGATATTATTTTCCCCGATTCCAGTTGGCATTTATTTGTATTTCAAACTTTTGAGAATTAAAATTTTCATTCTTTTAGATTAAGGTAGACATAAAGTAAGTATTAAGTAACAAATAATAATATAAATGAGAAATAAAAAAATGTATGAATCTAAATTGGGGTCTCATGCCCCAAGTCCTAAGTCACTTTATAGCCAGATCTAGCATGAATGTAACTTGGCTGTGTTGTGTGTGCTATTTTTATCTAAGAAGGACAGCAGAGAGCAGATGTCAAAGATGGTGCCAGCCAAAAATTGAGGTTACTAGGGCACAATGCCCGGTGTTTTCTAGACACAATGAAAACCTCCTAGGTAAGAAATTAGGTTAAAAGGGCTTTTAAGAGAAGCCACCTGAAGCTAGCACCGAAACAATACCTTTTGGACTGTTATCTAAATGTACAGCTTAGAACAAAGATAAAGTTTTGAGAATAATTTAATCTCAGAAATTTCATAGTCTAACTTGGGTCATTTGTGACAATGACTTTCAATTTCAACCTGGTATACAATATAGGAAGAGACACTGGTGCTTCAGTGGTAGAATTCTCATCTCCTACAAAGAGACCTGGGTTCAATTCCCAGTCAATGCACCTCACAGAAGCTTATGTGTTGCCATGATGCTGAACAGGTTTCAATGAAGCTTCTAGAGTAAGATAGAGTAGGAAAAAAAGAAATCACAATACACTTCTGAAAATCAGTCAATGAAAACCTTCTGTGTCACAACAGCCTGATCCACAACTGATCATGGGGTTGGTGCAGGACAGGATAGGGTTTCATGCCACTTGTACATGGAGTTGCCATGATGGGGGTTGATTCAATGGCAGTGAACAACATACCATACACTGTGCTTCCTGGGCACCATGAAAAGCATTTTACAAAATTTCACTCACATTAACCCTCAGGCAGATGTAATTACCCCCTTTATAATGGAGAAAACGATGTCCTGGAAGGGCTGAGTAACTTGCCAGGGTCCCAAAGCAAGTAAGGGGGTTACATAGGAGGTGAACTTAAGACTTTGACTCCAACTTGTTCACTGCTCATAGTGCACAATTGGGACCTTTAAACTTCTGATCACATCAGATATAAAACACATAAACTAGTGATACACATAAAAAAATCTAAGTAATTTCATACTTACTTTCTTATTGCTATTTGGTATGAATATAGCTAGTGTCCCAAGAGTGAAAAAGAGACTTACTCATTCAGTGTTTTATTTTGGAGAAGAGTTCACTACATTTATATCTAGTTATCTCTCTATCCTCCAAACCAATTTTTATCTATCTTAATTAATCAATAAAGAGGCACACATAAGACTAAATAATGGAATGTAACTTATGTCTGGAAAATACAATTAAAATGTTTCTGTTCTGACTTCAAACAATCTAAGATTTAAGTCTATCATGAGCAGAATATTTAATCATTATATACATTACCTTAACATTTTCTAGAAGAGTATCATCTCTACCCAAGCCAGGTCCCACAACAAGGGTGTGCAATCGGGGTAACCATGCTTCCACGTCACGAACAGCACTAGGACTGTCACTAAATAAGGAAAAGAAAGGCAGATTTGGTTTACTTGAATTTTTCATTGACTTGTTTGTTTTGTAAAACATTTTATTCAGAAAATATTTTCAACTTACAGCAAAGTTGCAAAAGTAGTGTAGAGTTCTTACATACCCTCCACCTGGTTTCTCCTAATATTACCCTCTTATACAACCAAATCCCAATGATTAAAACTAAGATGTTAACCCTTGAACAATACTGTAAGTGACAGACTTTATTTGGATTTCACCAGCTTTCCCACTAACGTCCTTTTCCTTTTCCAGGATCCAATCCAGAATCCCATACTATATTTAGCTGTCATCTCTCCTTAGTCTTCTCCACAGATTGGAATAATTATTAATGCCCCAACTTAGATGTCCAGTTTTCATTAAAACAAGTTAGAATAAAACATTATAGCTAATTTCAAAACTATCTTTGTCCTCTAAAATAAACCTGTTTGCTTCCATCACTTATATGTACAGGTATAAAATACACTCTCTATACTTATAAATTGTAACTCACATTAAATGTATTAGAGAAATTATCCAAAAGACTCACATGATTCATCTTTTTATAATCTTTTTATTTGTAAAAATAAAACACCTTTACAGTTTTACAGTGTTTTGTTGTTTTTTCACAATACTTTTACATTTATCATCTCATGTCATGGACTCAAGATTCTCAAAATGAAAAGATCCTAGTAGCGAACCAAATCTTTTATCTAAAGCAAGAACTCCTTCTAGTACCTCTCGCCTCTGATTAAATTCTGAGTTTGGAAAGTCATTCACAGTTTTCATTTATTTGTTCATTTCTGAGCTCAGTGGAAATCTTCCTGCCTATATGTAGCTTTTCTTCATTCATTCAACAAATAACTTCTGAGTGCCTACTATGTACATGCAGGACACCATGTCCAAGATTAATCAGTCCAAGGTTAAAAAAGGCAGACTACCTTTTCCTCACAGGGCTCAAAATCGGATGGAGAAACACACAGCAGAATAATTCTAATACTTGTTACTCCACTCATGCTGTATAGAGAATAGACGAGGAGAGAGATGGAAACACACAAGGGCCCCATGTAAATAACCTATGCCGCCTAAGAACATCAGAGGAAGTGATACAGGAATGAGGTCTTTTTCATAAATTTACAAAGTGACTGCCCACAGAAAAGCATTCCAGGCCAAGGGAGCAGCCCTCTTAGCTCTCAATTGGGATTCAGAGCGTCTCCCCTCTCTCTTCCACAGGATTGCCTACCACACATCTGAAGGGAGCTACTATCAGCAAGGTTCCTGACCCATAAAGCCCAAACCCATTGCCATCAAACTGATTCTGACTTCTACCAACCCCATGTGACAGAGTAGAATTGCCCCGTAGGGTTTCCAAAGCTATAATCTTTACAGAAGCAGACTGCCAGGTCTTTCTCCTACAGAGTAGAAGGTGGGTTCAAACCACTGACCTTTCTGTTAGCAGCCAAGTACTTAAGCACTGTACTACCAGGCTTCTGGATTTCTGACAGTATCTTCTAATCTCCAAGTTCTCTCTTCTTCAGGTTTAGCAAACAGTTCCCATGCCCAGTTCCCTCCTATGATCTCACTGCCTGATACCTTATCACCCTGTCCTTCCACCTCTGAGCTCACTCTAGTGTCTATATGTCCCCATCACAGCCCTCTGCCTTAATACATTTCCTGGGGAGTTGAGATAAACATTATCTACTCCCATCTGGGGAGCTCTGGTAGCATAGTGCCTAAGGCACTTGACTGCTAACCAGAAGGCTGGAGATTCAAACCCACCAGCCACTCCTCAGAAGGAAGATGGGGCAATCTACTTCCATAGTGATACTGCCTCGGAAACCCAAGGAGGGGTCTCTATGAGTCAAGTCCGACTCGAGGGCACATAACAACAACAACAACAACAACTCGCATTTGATGGACAGGAAACTAATGAATACAAAGGTTAACCATCTCAACAAAATCAGTCTGTGGCAAGCATGGCTTTGAATGCAAAAAAAAACCCCAGTCCTGGTGGTGGTGGCAGGGTAGTCCCTAAGGCATTTGACTGCTAACCAGAAGGCTGGTGGTTCAAACCCACCAGCCACTCCTCAGAAGGAAGGTTGGACAATCTAGTTCCATAGAGATATTGCCTTGGAAACCCAAGGAGGAGTCGTTATGACTTGGGATCTACTCAATGGCGGTGAGTTTTGGTTTTTGGTGGTGGTAGAAAAAGGTTCTTTCCACGGCACCAAACAGTTTCACGCCTCTGCTACAACAGACTTACCATGTACATAGACTCTGCTTTCTTGGTTCAATGGTTAAAAATCAGCTGCTAACTGAAAGGCTGTCAGTTTTAATCCACCCAGGGGCTCGAAGGAAGAAAAGACTTGGAGATCTGCTCCCATAAAGATTACAGCTTAGAAAACCCATGGGGAGTTCCACCCATCACATGGGGTCACTATGAGTTGAAACCAACTCGACTGCATCAAACAACAACAACAGATTTTGTTTCCACTGAGGCATACACTTTAAATAGAGAACCATACGTTAAAGAGCCAATTAATAATGATTCAAATTACAAGTGGGAAAAGTACTGTTTACCTGCTAGTGAGAGCCTTTGAAAAAAGTGTCCATTAGATTGTCTGCATCCTTGACTGTAACATTCAGTTATGAATATAGACGCACCCTGGAGGTCCTGCAGGGCAGGAATCTGGAACTGGTGGCCACGGTACCATCCTGTGCAAGCCAGGCTTCAAGCAATCTAATTCCACACCTGCCTGCTCAGCAGATGCCTCTCAGCTCAGGGGACCTCTCAGTGTGGCAAAATACCCTAGATAAACCAGCAGTTGCTACTGTTGGTGATGACAGTAAAGAGGACCCAGTGGTGGGTAGAGAAAAGGGTGGTTCTCAGTCAGTAAAGGAGAATAAGTGAGAGGACAGGCTCCAGAATCAAACACACCCAAGTTCAAATTTCAGCTTTGTCACTGACCAGTTGTGTGACTTTGGGCAAATTATTAATCCTCTCTAAGCTTCATTTCCTTAATTTGTAAAACAGGACCAACAGTATCCACACTTCTTAAAGGTATCTAGAGGATTACATTTTAAAATGCAGGCAAAGAGCGTAGCATGGTGCCTGCATTTAGTAAACACTCCCCCCAAATTAACTGGTACTAATAATTCTAGTTATTACTATAAAAGAAATAATGATAATAATTAATGGATAATAACAATTATTACCGTTAACAGTTATGAAAAGGTGGAGTCCCTGGATGGCAGAAACAGTGAACGTGCTCAGCTGCTAACTGAAAGGTGAAGGTTGAATTCACACAGAGGAACTCGGGAAAGGCCCGGTGATGTCCTTCCAACAGAGCAGCCATTATAAACCCTGTGGAGCACAGTTCTACTCTGATATACACGGGGTCACTATGAGTCACAGCTGACTTGACAACAACTGGTTTGGCTCCTTTACCCTCTTCTCTGATGCATGTGGGGTCACCATGAACTGGGATTGACTCAAAGACAACTGGTACTGGTATGAAAGGACAGACCATCAAATTTAGTGGTAGTTGAGCTATACAAAGGATCTTTTGCGGTGCTATAGTTAAGTGCTCAGCTGCCAAACAAAAGGCTGATGGTTTGAACCCACTAGCTACTTCACAAAAGAAAGATGTGGCAATCTGCTTCCTTAAAGATTTACAACTTTGGAAACCCTACGGGGCACTTCTACTCTGTCTTATAGGATTGCTATGAGTTGGGATTAATTCAATGACACGGGGTTTGTATTGGTTTTAAGATGTATAATACAAATCTATCATGTAAGAGTTATACCAGGGTTCCAGACTTCAAATGCATCAGGCCAGGTATAAGGACACCCATATAGGTGAGTAGAGAAGACCATGGTGGATTGAAGCTCATGAAGAATCACTACTACTCAGCTGCAGACAATTACTACCGTGCAATGTGGACTCAGTGGTCCAGATGTTCCAAGTTTTTAATGTGTTAGTAAAATTTGCAGTTTTAAGTGTGATATCTCCACTTGTCTATCAGTTTTCCTACTGTTGTGGCTTCTCTGCTGCTGTGAGACTGGAGGCTATGCCACTGGTACTTCAAATACCACCCATGGTGGACAGGTTTCAGTGCAGCTTCCAGACTGAGACAGACTTGGAAGAAGGAAGGGGCCATCCACTTCTCACAGACATGGCCAGTGGAAAAGTTATGAATAGCAGTGAAATGCTGTCTGATAAATTACTGGACAACTTTATGAATAGCCCTGAAACATTGTCTGATACAGTGCCAGAAGATGGCACTCAGATAAGAAGGCACTAAAAATGCAACTGGGGAAGAGTTACCTCCTCCAAGTAGAGTAGACCCTAATGATGTGGATGGAGTAAAGCTTTCAGGACCTTCATTTGCTGATGTGGGAGCTCTGATGGTATAGTGCCTAAGATATTTGACTGCTAACCAGAAAGCTGGTGGTTCAAACCCACCAGCCACTCCTCAGAAGGAAGGTCGGGCAATCTACTTTCGTAGTGATACTGCCTTGGAAACCCAAAGAGAGGTCGCTATGAGTCAGATCCGACTCAACGGTAGTGAGTTGGGTTTGGTTTGGTTTATTTGCTGATGTGGCACGACTCAAAATGGGAAGAAACAGCTGCAAACATCCATTAATAATTGGAACATGGAATGTACGGAGTGCAGGAAAATTGCAAGTTGTCAAAAATGAAGTGGAACACATGAAGAGCGACTGGTTTTGGCCGTTCTGAATCAGACAATAATGTGACCTACTATGCTGGCAACGACTAATTGAAGAGGAACGATGTCACATTCAACATCACAAAGAATGTTTCAAGATCTATACTGAAGTATAATGCTGTCAGTGATAGGATAATATCCGTATGCTTACAAGGAATACCAGTTAATATTACTATTATTAAAATTTATGCACCAACCACCAAAGCCAATGATGAGGAAACATAACAAAAACAACACATCTGTACAAGCATTCGATCATTA